GTAAACATTACAATGTTTTCATACGCAAAATATCAAACTTTTTTTTACTAAGTCTTAAGGTTTGTAAAGCAATTTTTTTTCTCATATCTTTTTTTTTCTTTTCACATCTTGCCTATCTATCATGCAAAGTAATATTCATTTTAAGATTAAAAATACTTTTATGCATTAGAAAATTTTCAAATTTCACATGCAAAATCTTTATAATGTCCAGATAGTTATCAAACATTTCTTAAGAAACACCTTTATATTTTATCTGCTATTTTCAGTAATTAATCTGTGTACAGGTTCAGTAGATTTGACAGATCTTACAACCACCATAAAAATTATGCCACTTTCATTCTAGAATGAACAAATTTTAACAAGAAAACATAAATGTTTAAACTAAATAGCTTAAATCGCATAACATTATACATTTATATATATTTATTATTTTTATTATATTGACCTTTCAGCCATGCCTGGCTAATAATACAGAAGTTACAATGATGAGGTTCACGTGCACTCGTGTTAACATATCAAATAACATAAAACTGACCTTTGTTCTGTACAAAGTAACTTGTCTTGGTTGTGTTTTAGTAGACTAGTATTTTGTAAAATATAGTCACATTTCAATTATTATACATCATATATGTATATAGATTATTATTATTTTCCAACAAGTTCTTAAACTTATTTTTTCATAAAACATAGAACAGTAATTAAAGAAGTAAATCAAACAATTATCTCTTCTAGTTTCGACTTTTGTACTCACTTGCTGTTTGTCGTAAGTTGCTAAGCCTTTAAAAAATTTGCACATGGAGGATATGAAACAAAATGTTTTTTTAAAGTTTTATATATACATTTGAATAACTAAAAAAATCATAAATTACTACATTAATACCATAGAATTTCACTATAATTTTAGTAACTAAAATGTATTTTAGTGTAAAAAAATATGAATTTTTCAGCAGACTAAAGACACACCCTACCTCATTGAAATATTGGTTCAAAAGAAAGAAATATTGCCAAGCCTGTTAAAATGGCTGAGAAAGCCATTATGGGGACATTCTGAGCTTCTGATTGGTTATTTATGTCATATATAAAAGTAAGTCTATATAAGGGAGCATTTCCAAAAATGGAAAGATGTGGGTGGGGGTGCTACTGTGTTTGATTTATTACATGAGTAATATCTTAGGAAACTGAAAAGATAACAGGCTCTTATTTTATATTTTAGCTTGTCAATATCGGTATTTTGAGTTTCTAATTCATACAAAACTACAGACTTAGTATTTTGACATGTGGTATGTTGAATGCAGCACTGGTTCAAATTAGATGTTTGTGGTGACACACAAAAATCGATGTTTATCTGTGTTTTTTTAATATTTACTTTTAAATTAAGAAATTGAGTAATTTAAAGTTCTAAAATATGAATTATAATCTACAGTTTGATACCCAACTTATTGACATAAATTCATGAAATAGCAGTTCAATAAAATTTTGAATGTGAGTCAACAAATGAGATGACATGGCCTTTCACCCGTGACCCATCTCGAAAGGGTAATAATGCATTAATCTATGTCGTATTATCTTAGAAGAAACATTATTCCCTTCTGATGAGATTGCTTTGTTGCTGCTCATCTTTTGTTACATTACACTGTGGCATTGATGGAAGCTGGTTATCAAATCTGTGATGATACAATTTTTGCCTTCAAGATGGTCTTTTGAGAACAACTTTATATTTTATTTGTTGTAGTTGCATAGCAGTACATGTGTTTATTCTAACTTGTATATTTGTTATATATTTTGAATAAGTTCAATGCAGTGGTTGGGTGGAAAAAATGCCAATACAGCAGTAAACTGTTGAAAAACATGTAACATTCAACTGAATGCATATGCACATATGTATCTTAAAATTTATTCTCCATAAGTTTATTTACTTCTTTTAGAGTTCCTAGTTTGTATCATGAAAATACAATCTTTGCATTTTGATTCAACTTTTTTCTGTACTTTTTGACAATCCCTATTTCCCCCTTTTTAAATTAAAATGGGTTTAAAACTTATTGCATATATTTAATGAAACCTTCTGATTAATGTTTTTAAAAAAACTGGTTTGCTTATAATTTGAGAATTTAAAAAAAATATTTTTATTGTATGACATTGATCAAAAACACACTGCATACATTATTTTCAAATAATAACAAATATAAAATTTACAGTTTTATAGAATGAGTATGTAGAAACACAAAATTCAGTAACTAATATCTGCAACAAAAGTAAGCATTTTTAATTGTTCCTTAATAAAATATCACAATGAAATCTTTTCAAAATTGCAAATTAACACATAAAAAATAGGATATTGCATTTGTAGAAGCTGTAGAAAGTTCTTCTGAAGTTTTCTTTTGCTATACAATAGAACCATACAACAAAAGTTTCAAATTGATGTACACGGTTCTCATAGAATTAATACAAAGAATCAGATGTGAATCAAGTTTGCTTAGTGTTAAGCATGCTTGTGCATTGTACTTTATATAAATATATATGTAATGATCTTTTTACTGGACTTCACATAAAGCTAAGCACACAAATGGTAAACAGGAACACAAACGCTACATGGAACAATTTTTATTTGTATAGAATTTTAAATGTGCTTTGATTTCAAAGCATGTATATATATATATATAATTTTAATATAGTGTTATCACTTTTTTTGCAACACGTACAAAGTAAGAAATTTATTGCTGATAATGAGCTAGCTGAAGAAAATATATATGCTAAATCTCCACATTTACATCAGCCACAGCTACTTCATGTTGTATGTAATCACAGTTAAACTGCAACAGTGAAATACCTTTTTTTTTACCGTAGATATTACATTTATTTGTTTATAGATTAAGAACAAAACACAAAAATATTCTATCAAAGGTAGAAGTACTGAATTTTTTATCTCTGTTTTAGTTAACTTTCAGGAACTACCTTTCATTATTTTCTATGGAGTATCCAACAGAGGTCTGTTTTGTGCACACATATTTCTCTACTCTACAAAAAATCAACAGCTTACCAAGCAAAACATGTGGTCCATTGAGTCTGGGCTTGGAATGATGGTTTTCAAATTCTTTTTTGCCATTTGCTTTTGTATCATTCTTACTATCTTCACTGTGACTTCTAGTCCAAGAATGTTTGTAGTCCACTTTAATCTTGTAGAAAAATTTATCATCATAAATGCATGCATACACATATACAAACTCTTAATAACTAACTATCAAAATCATCAACAGATTTATATTTTCAATGCTCATAAAAACCCTTAAATCATATTGTATAAAGATTAACATATGGTTTCCAAAAGAATGTTAATAACGTAATGGCAAAAAACACAGAATAAATTTTGTAGTTGATAAAGTTATTATTTTCTTTGCACATTTAAAATGATAATTTATATAATTTTCATCCCCATAAGCAAAAACATTTAAAAACTTACCATGTAATTGGAATGGACAATTTTTTTGTGTGACTGAGTTTCACCATCAATTCTTTGGCATAAACAAGATTCACTTAAGCCTTGTCTACATTTATCACAACCTTCTTTGAAACCTTTGTCTACTTTTACAGAATATTTTTGAAAGCATGGGGTTGTTTTGAGAAAATCAGATTGCAAGTTATTTTCCAATATGACAGAAGAACTTGTTTGTAAATTTTTTTCCATTTCCTTGATTTTTTTCTCAATGTTATTTTCCAATATGACAGAAGAACTTGTTTGTAAATTTTTTTTCCACTTCCTTGATTTTTTTCTCAATGTTATTTTCCAATATGACAGAAGAACTTGTTTGTAAATTTTTTTCCACTTCCTTGATTTTTTTCTCAATGTTATTTTCCAATATGACAGAAGAACTTGTTTGTAAATTTTTTTCCACTTCCTTGATTTTTTTCTCAATGTTATTTTCCAGTATGACAGAAGAACTTGTTTGTAATTTCTTTTCCACTTCCTTGATTTTTTTCTCAATGTTATTTTCCAATTTAACACAACTATTTTGTAAACATGTCTCCAGTTTAACAGGAATATTTTCTAAATGTTGTTCAAAATCTACACAGTTTGCTTGTACAGGTAAGTTTACTTTTTGAGGAACTTTTAGAAAAACTTGTTTCAAGTCAGCACCATTACCAACTTCATGTATGACGCTGTTTGATGCTGTAGATACTTCTTCCTGGACAAACACAAAAACAGAGAAAAACAAAATTACTAAATATTAATTCAACATATATTTTTTACAACTTAAAAACTGATTTTGAAATGAAAGCTGATATACTTCATCTAAACATTTAGTGTTAAAATCATTCTTCATTGACTAATATCTCACAAAATATCTTTTTGGTTTTCAACATTCTGAAAGTTTATGGAAACAGAATATTCATTTATAAATTAAAATGGGAAAAGATCATAAAGAAATATTTTAGTCCTAAAAATTCAAATTACAAATCACTAAATGTAAAGAACCCAAGACAATGAAGCTAGAAAGAGTCTCAAGCCTAATATACAAAACAAAACGGATAAACATTTGGCTGCTGCAAATCTAATGTACTTAATGAACTTTGGTATTAAAAAAAATCTCTTGAGCAGAGACATCTCTGATATGATCATGGACTGAAAAAGTCAAACATAATGTTGCTATCAGATACATTAAGTTTAAATTTTTATTGTTTTATGTGGCATTAAAAAAATGGATAACTAACCTATGTTAACATCAAAATAAAACAGTGAAAAGACCAAGTGTGGAAAAATACCATTTGTATAAAACAAATGTGTTAAAAGTTGACTTACTGGTTTTTGATATGACATACTGGATGAAATTGGTGCATTTATTGGTCCAGATGACTGATCACGATCAGTTGCATCAAAAGTCCTAAAGAAACAAGTTATCAAAAAATTAAAAATTAATGATTTGATCAGTTTTACGTTTATTAAAGGTAAAAAAGAAACATCTAACCCTCAATTTTGCTTCTATCATATTCATTACACTGAAAATCATAGAAAGAAATTATAAAAAGTTTTGGCCAAGCCAACATTATCTGATCTTCAATATCTAAGAAGACTCAATGGCAGGTAACTTATTAACTTAATTGTTTTTAACAAGAAATGGAAGTAAAAAAAAATATATTTAAAAATAATTGAAATTTGAAAAAACAGAAAATAAAGTAATCTAACGTACTAAGAGACTACACAATACGGTCCACTGCCTAAAATTTTCATACATTCATGCAAAAAAAAACATTTCAAGGGTTCTCTTTAAAAACTCTATAAAGCATCTGGCATGGCCACATAAGATTAGGGTACCACCAAAAACTCCAAACAGGATCTAGGGATAGTCCCAAAGTTGATATCAAGAAGACAAAACCTTTGAAGCACCTTCATTTAAAAGTATTTTATACCAGCAATAAAAATAAGTAAATTTCATCTCTACCAAGTGCAATTCTAAAAACCATAAGACAAAAAAAAATCAAATACCACTTTGCTTACTGTGTCAAATCAAAAGTTTCTGAACACAGATGCATAAACTGCATTATATTTCTTAACAGGTAAACAAGGACTAAAAGTGAAGAAATCTGTAACGATCATAAATAAATCTAAATAGAGAGTTAAGATGTCATGTGCAGTTTTTCTGTTTAAAATAATAGTTATTTCTGAATCATTAAAATCACCCTAAAACAAGAAAAATAAACATTTTTTTCTTAATTTAACACTCACATTTTTGGTTTATTCCTATTTCTATTTGAAAAAGACCCTTCATACACTGCAAAAATTAATTAGCTTTGACTACTTTGTATCTGCCATACAAAGAAAGATGGTTGCTGTTCATACTGCCCTGTCATCCATTTTGAGTTTTTTACATTTACAATTAATTCAACTCCATTTGCTATCAAAGTAACTAGATATCAAACAGGTTATTTTTTTTTTCTGTAACTATCTGTTGCCATCAAATTACAATGATTGGAAATAATGTCATGAAATGTCTGTTTATGCAAATAGGAAAAAGCTTTTACGTGTTCAGTCAATCTAAATTCTACCACTCTCTGATATCAATTCAAGATAAAAAATTGTCAGTAAAAAAATCTGTATAAAATTGAATAAATAGTTTTATAACTAAACAAGTTTCAACTCTGAATAACTAAAAGTTAATTTTCTATAATTTTTTAATTCAATGGTGCATTTTGTCCTCAGGGTGGGATGCATACATCATGATGGAGTTAAAAAAGCTACTGTAATTTTCTATCTTATACGATTAAATACTGAAGCTAATACTTGTAACAATATTCAGTCAAATATGTAATTATAAAAATTTAATAATAATATCTCTCCAAAAATAAACTTAAATTGTTACACATTTAAAATTTGATTATTCCTTACTTGTTCACAAAAGGGCTTCTGTAAATACTGTATGTATTCTGATTTCTCTGCAACCTTAGTTTTTCCTTGTACTCTTTGTAGGTCTGTAGATACGGATAAGTCCTCGTTGTGCTTACACTGGCTTTAGACTTATGACTATTAGAGTCTGTACAAATGAAGTCAGGAGTATCAGAGTAGCTAGAATCAAAAAAACAAAAAGTTTAAATAGTAGACAGGAAGATAATAGTTTGCATTTATCATTTATATTACTGAAAACATCTTGCCTGTTCTATCTAACAGACGAATTGTATGTTTGTTTCAGACAATAGTGCAAAGCTGCATAAGGGCCATCTGTGTTGGCCATCCCTAATTTTGAACTGATATACAAGAGGGAAGGCAACTAGTCACATATAACACCCACTGCCAACTCTTGAGCTACTCTAGTCAAATAGTGGGATTTAAGTGTCACTGTAAATAATGAACCCACAGTCACAAAGTGAAAAGCACAATTTTGTGTCAGTCAACAGGATATGAGCTATGGATCCTGAGATTATCAGTCTGACACACTAACACCACTAGGTCATGTCAAGTCCTAAAATTGTATAAACTTAAGTACTTGCTACAAATATGGATGAAGGATAGTACTGCATATATATATATATATACACACACACACACACACATATATATATATATATATATATATAGAGAGAGAGAGAGAGAGAGAGAGACACACACACACACACACACAATTGGAAAAAAGTTATAAAGTTAAAAGAATGTTTGACTAAACTGTCAAGAAACAATTTTTTACATGATTATGTATCAGCATCGTATTAACATAGCTACCATCCTCTTTTTTTATTAACACTAATTTCTTGTGGATACATCAACCCTTCCTTTTTCAAGAGTTCAGAGGGGCCAGTGGTCAGCAAGTATTTGGTTCAATACTTGATGACACTGAACACACGCCACGCTATCTATGTAGGCACAGTATAAAAATGACAGTCAATTCTATTATTTGGTTTAAAGAGCTGGATAAAGCACTTGTAGCACTGGGTGCTACTGGCTAGTTACTTTCCCTACAGTCATTAGTTCAAAATCAGGGACAACTAAACCTGTATCATAGAAGACTTTGACCTGGTTAGTTAAACCATAAATTGTTTTCAGAATAAAGATTTAAGGTTCAATTCCTTTTTTCAATAGATAATTCCAAATCCATAAATGATGAAAGACATGTACTTTTTTGGATTGCTCTAGTTATTAGTTTTATTTAATTGTGGTTTATCTACTTTTGCATCCTATGCATTTTCCAATTATCAAGGATGTGTTTTACAAACATTTTTTTTATCATTAACAACTCTTGCTTATTTGTTCTGAAAATGAAACAAATTAAAATGGAGTTCAAATTCCAAGAAATATTTCACGATACACCAATCGGTCATGTTGTCTAGAGGTAGCATACAAAACTGGTCAGTAATGCTTAGAAGAAAATGAAAAGAACCTTGCATAACAAAAAAGATAAAATATGAAACAGAGGAAAACTTTTTAAGGCATGAAAATTAACTTGCTTAACTGATTAAAACAAATATATTTTTTAAATTGCATAAATAGTGCTTTCCATAAAGAATTTATTTGTTAATACAATGAACTCCTCCCACCTCTTTATGAAACAACTGTAGATTGTAGTTGCAAGATATTTAACCCATTAAAAATTGATAAGCATTATCATTTATTTAACTAGAGGGGCACTCAGTAGAGCACATACCTCCACCAAACAGCATTTTTCATATTTGGCTCTTAAAAGATATGAAAATGTGTACACATGTCCATCGTTATCAATGGATGCACACCATTTTTGGCAGGACAATGAGGTATGATACTCTACAAATGTCCACCAAGTTTCATCAAAATCAGATCATTTCTGACTGAGTAATAGTTCAAAAATAGTGTGAAAAATTGGTCCCCATGTTAACACTTTGTCATTTGTTTTATTCTTGTGACCTTGACCCTCAAAAACTAATCACTTCTAAGTTAGGTCATAGTCCAAATGTATAGCAACTTTCATCCAAATCCTTTCAGCCATTTTCAAGAAATCTTGCTGACAAACACACACACACAGCAGTGAAAGCATAACCTCTGTCCATCTTTGGTGGCAGAGGTGATTAAATGTCATATAGTAACAAGATGACTAACTAGAGAGATTTTATTTACTTTTAGTAGAAATATCTCATACAGGAAAAATATATTTAAGTAAAATATTATAATCAGAAAAGTTTTGGCACGATAATAATAATCTCTACCACTGGTATGTATAAAGGTATTATGCCCATTTTCACTGAACAATTATTGTGCTTATAAGTAAGTACATAATCAGTAAGTGTGAATGAGTACACATACATTAGACCACTATTAAAGTAATTTAAAGCTAGATATCTATGTTAAAAGCTAATATTGCTGAGGTAAGAGCTTATGGTTACTTTTATAGTATAAGGTAATTTATCTTTTTTCTCTATAACAGATAAATTGTTTGGTATTTTATGTATTGACTTATTATACATCATAATCATTTGTTTGATTTGAAGTGAAAAATACAAGTAATTCTTTCTTTTTAACAGTAGATATTATTCTTGTTATTTAACAGGTCATTATGCATTTATTTCCTTGAAAGTTAACAACAGAACTACTGGAGTTGTATTAAAGTTTTTTGGTTTTTTTTAGATTGTGTAATGTGATCATAATACAGCTGATCAGTTAGAATTAGCTTTATTGGTTGAAAGATTTCCATTGAGGTTTATTTACAAGTGTTGTTGCCTTTATGTAAATTAATCTTGATGTTAAATTTAATAATATGATGAAGTAAGCATAAGGCTACTGTTTTATCCTTGTTAACTGAGGAGAACGCTATACTGTTCTGTTGTCCAACTATAAGGACTTATGATAACTTTAAAACTTTAAAGTTGGTGTAATGAAGAATCTCTTCAGTTTCAATATTATGAACTTAGTATTACTTAACATCCAAGAAAATAGCCCTTCAGTTTACTCAATTTCTTAAGATTCACCCCTTATGATTAAGCCAGTAGGAAGCTATTTACTAAGTGTTTTTCATCCTGTACGTAGCCTGTGTTTATCTTTCTCAAGTACAGCTTCGACCTACCTATTGCAAAAGGGTTAACCCTCTTTAGTAGGTCGAAGGCAGAACAGAATGGGAACTGAAATAAATCCACTTCAGTTGAATTTGCTTACTATAAATCATGTAAGAAATGTGCTCGTGTCTGATAAGTTATATGTAAAATCTTATCTAAAGAAATGCTTCACATAGAAAACATGATTACAGATTATGAATCATGTGCAGGCTTTAATAAAGGTTCTAATCACATGTAATAATTTAAAACAATATAAAATTTTCATTTGCACTACACTTACTTTGATTTTTGTGCTTGGTTTAAAACACCCACTTGTTTCTTCACAATTTCAGTATCTTCAGACTTTACTACATTGTAGTCAATAGAATGACCATTAGTCAGTTTTGTTCCTTGATCCTTAAAGAAGAAGAAAAAAAAAGGACAACAATATAAGGCTTACATAAATATATATACATATTGTAAACTTTATCTAGAATATCTTATGCAATATCTGAACGTACAATCAATTTTGTATAGCAGTAATATTAATAAAGGTATTGAATTTTAAAGCTTAAACACCCAAGTTATAAAACAGTAGGAGGTTTATTATAATAAAAACAAGTTCTTACAGAATAAAAATAGAGGATCTCGTAACTTGTTGGATCACCCATGAGGAACTCTTAGGAAAGAAAATATTATATATTCTGGTCAATCTTATTTAAACATAAATATATATATAAAAGGTTAAAATTCAAGGAACTTGTGTAAAAATAATTTAAAAATTTTCAAATGCTCAACGTGACCTTCTTTAGGGTTTACCATATATTTATGTAGAAGTAGTAGTATGAGTCACACGATTAACAACCTTGGCATAAATAGTTTTGTAACGGTTGTTTTTTAGACTTAGTGCTCCTAAGTTAAAAACGTTGATCATTTAAAAAAATGTTAAGAAATATATATAAAATATATATATATATTATTTTTTTTTTTTACAAACCTCTTGAACTGTAACACTATGATGTAACTCAGATGTCACACTCTGAGTGCTTGAGGGTGTTGTGTTATTCTTCTCTGATGCTAATGATGACACCAAATGGCAACGTCTTTCCTTTCTCTGTTCTTTGGTTATTTCTGCTGCACGAAGAGCTAATTTACGAGATGATTCTATCTCTCCACTTAGCTGGTAAAAGTAAGAAGTGTACATACATATATATATGTAAGCTATGAAAATCAGGTCTAAAGAAATGTAGTAGGAAGGATAACACAAACAATAACACCAACTCACAAATTATAGTGTATGGAATTATAAGATTTGTCTTAGCTTTTGTGGTATCTGTAGACCTACAAAGTGGTAAGGATATAACATCTACTACATCTAACTTGTTACAAAAAGGGCAGATGCGAGTGCTCAAGCTCACAACATCGCATAACTATGCAACCTTTTAATGTTTACGGCCAATTGTGGGTAACTATGCCACCTTTTAATGTTTACGGCCAATTGTGGGTAACTATGCCACCTTTTAATGTTTACGGCCAATTGTGGGTAACTATGCCACCTTTTAATGTTTACGGCCAATTGTGGGTAACTATGCCACCTTTTAATGTTTACGGCCAATTGTGGGAAAGTAATGGCTTAAAATGCAAAATAAATAAATAAAAAAGAAGAGAAATGAAGAATAAAAAGAAAAGAAACCAGTGGGTTATTAAATGGGCCAGTGAAGCATACAAGTTGATGTTAAATCTGGTAGATGGTGTATCCGTATCACTTAGTAGATCCTAAATCTTAAAATACCTCAAAACCCAAGATTATTACCACACACTCTTAATTTGTAATTTGGTATCACTGTTTGTGTTGTCCATTCTATAGAACTATAAACATCGGAGGTTTGGAAGAGCTGTTATACATTTCCTCCTGACTATATTAAATTTATCACATTGCCTTAGACTTTTTAATATATTTATATGTACATACACAGTGCTTGCAAAAGTATTCACACCCCCACAAAGTTTCAACATTTTATTGCGATCTGAGCTTGCAAGCACAAAACTTTGAAATAGGACTTTATATTTAGAACCTACACAATCTATTTCAAACTGAGAAAGTTAAAAAAACGGTGATATTATGCAAGTTACATTTTCAAAGAAAATCAGAATATTCTCAATTGCATAAGTATTCAACCCCCCTTTGCTATGGAAATTCTAAATCAGTTCAGGTGCAAAAGATTAGTTTGAAAGGTCACAAAATGCTTGTCAAGATTGAGGGGAAGATGAATGGTGCAAAGTACAGGAAAATCCTAAAGGAAAACCTGCTTGAGTCAACCAAGAATCTAAAACTGGATCGATAATTCCCATTTCAGCAGGATAATGAACCGAAGCACAAGGCCAAAGCCATACTGGAGTAGTTTCAAAAGAAAAAAATTAAATGTCCTGGAGTGGCCCAGTCAAAGTCCTGACTTGAATCCAATAGAAAATTTATGGCGAGACTTGAAGATTGCAGTTCATCAATGATCCCGAACTAACTTGTCAGAATTGGAGCAATTTTGCCAGGAAGAATGGGCAAAAATTACACCATCCCATTGTGCTAAGTTGGTAGAGACCTATCCTAAAAGACTCACAGCAGTAATTACTGCCAAAGGTGCTTACATCAAGTACTGACTTAGGGGGCTGAATACTTATGCAATCAGCAAACTTCAATTTATATATTTTCTTTGCAGGTGTTGCTGACATTCAACCTCCTTCACACAAAACAGTGTTAAGTTTGATCATCAGAGTTTTGAATAAAAACAAGTTCATTAAAAAAACTATTTACATTATTTGTATTTCATCAAAATGTGACATTATAAGTAGGGGGTGAATACTTTTGAAAGGCACCGCATGTATGTCATATATAAATAGATATATATCCAATACCTTGAACAAAATAGGAAGACATTTATATAAAAAAATTTAGAAAAAAAAGAAATATGGTATAACCAATTGAATACCTTACAGCAAGGGACTCAACAGAAGTAGAAATATTTACTCTGTATTCAAACCATACTAGAGAGCATGCATATATGATAAATTCCATCAAGCTTCCAAGTAAGAAGTTAATAAAGTACAACTTGTTAATTTTGGCCTAATTAAAAACACAGAATACAGTCTGTTATGTCTTTATAACTTATAAGCTTAAAATTAACACTTAAGTGCCCAGAACTGTAAGAACTGGACTTTGTTAAAATTAGGTCAATTAGACAAGGGGTGAATTTAAATATTGGGAAGTGAAAAATAGCTATTCAGACCTTACATTGGCCTTTTGGAGAGGTTAATCTAAATTATATTTATGTATATGAAGAGAATTTTATTAATATGATGCATAACAATTGCAATAGTGGTAGGTAAACAACAATAGTGTGAAAAAGTAAACAAATGGTACAACACCTGACAGAAAAAAGTGACATTTAAAATTAAAAAAAAAAGTTACAATCTAAAAAGATCAAACCTTATTGTCATTTTTTTAATAAATTAAAAAGTATGCTAGAAAATAACATACTTCATGCAGGTCTTGAGACCAGCGACAATCTCCTCCATCTGAAGTACTATAACCTGAATCAACAGTATGTCTTTTTTTTCTGTCATCTAGAATACCATTTTGGATTCGTAACTCAGCTCTGAAATATACAAGATATATAAGATATATAATCATCAACAGTGTATAATTTGATGGAAAAAAAAATACATATATATACATAAAAACTATGATACAGTGCACATATATTTATATTAAATGTTTACAATTAAATTGGTTTTAAACTAATTTAAAAGCTGAGTATGATCTGTTTATTAAAAATGTGTTAATGATAGAGAACTTATAAAACTGCAAGTAAGAATGCCCAGTTACATTATTTTTAAAATTTCCTGGTCAGAAGTGACTAGCAGAAAGCCAGCTGGTCCAAAAATAGTTCTAATAGATGTTTTTTCCCCCTTAGGATGAATTAAATACTACAAGAACAGTGCAGTAGTAAACAATGCCAAAATATTTATTATTACACAATTTAAGTTCTATTTATCTCAGTATTGAATTACATATAACAATATAACTAGTAGGGCACAATTTAAATTTTATGTCCATATAATTTTGAACATCAATTGTTGCATTCATAATGAAATTTCTTCATTATTGCTAACAGTTAGCTTATTAAACCGAATTTGCCAAAATCTAATACTGAAAAAGAAAAACTATTTAACAAAACTTACCAAGTTTTATGGCATTGCTTAGCTGACACAATTGTATCTTAAGCAGGATTAAAACAATCCATTCTTTATATATTTTTTCTCACGAAGACTATTCATATCAATATTCAAAATTTGTTACATTCAGATTATATATGCTGTTAAACTACAAATAACTTGTAACTCACAAATTACTTTACTTCATATCTGTGTCAAATTTGCACAGAGACAATACATTGGTAAAACAAGGAAAGTATCCCTCAAACTGAAGTTAAACATCAATGGAGTAAACTACCCTAAAAACACTTCATTAAATCAAAGTCACTATATTTTTGGCATACTTTCATAAATAACCTTACCACAAAATTTAAGATCTGGTCAATGCTAAATATGAGAAGTTTTACAAAGCCAAATGTTTGCAATAAAGGTGCAGGCTAACTTTATATAGTAAGTTTTTAATTGTACATACATATATATATAAAAAAAACTCACAAAAGACCAGCTTTCCTAAAACTTCGGTGGTAGTCTAACTCTAAAAGAACACCTTGTTTTTTGCTGTTTCTGATGGCTTGCATTTCAAGGTATTTAAAAATGTGTGCTTGACCTCGCATGCACATCTGTAAAACATAACATTTACTAATACATTATTTGTCAGCACACATAAAAAAAAATTACAAATAAATAATTAGAAAATATAAAGACATTTTTTATGATTAAAGATTCATTTGAAATAATACTTCTAAACAAAAAAGAGAAATCTAAATAAGCTTATTTCACTCTATCTGATGTTTTCACTCTTCGCCTTGTTTTGGTGCATACAAAATGTGAGTTCACTATCTGGTAATTAACAGTTTCTCACAGAGAAGACAGCATATAACATAGAGAAATAGAAAGTTATCTTTTCTGATGGTGAATCAAATAGTTAGGGGCTGTCCCTGTTCACCCTAGTGCTCGATTTACGATCATGTGTGTGAGGTGCATTTGTACACAAACCTGGCTTTGTTAATACTTTTATGTTTTGTATTTAAATAATGTTTGAGATACTTTCTTTTCAAGAGTAAGAATAGCTTTTTATCTTTCACTTTTAACTGTAACTTTTGTAACCTTTTCATGTTTGGTATAATGCTACCATATAATATTTTAATTGTAGTGCTTAGGATTAACTTAAACTTTGAAAGTTCTAATTGTTTTAAGCTGAAGCTTTATAACTTTGTTTAAACTTCAACTTCAGATTTGTTTAAACTGTATTTTCAATTAGTTTAAACTGTATTTTCAATTAGTTTAAACTCTAACAGTGGATTTAGTTTAATATTAACTATGGGATTACAGTTGCCTTTGTTGTTTTCTTCTCTGTAATCATCTTGTGTAGTTATTTTGTTTAAATAAACATCTACTAATATATATATATATTGGTATCATGCCTTTCTTCTTGACAATCCTGGTTAGAGATTAGTTACACTCTATAGTCTAGTATCTTTTGAATCTCCAGTTAGTGGCCATAACTGACTGCTCTGCAAGAAAACTGTCGGATGGAAAATACCACAAAGTAGTAAGGTAGGAGAAATTTTGGAGCTGTGACCAAGAATATCAGTATCACACAGTCCTGCATTCTTCTTAAGAAGATGAAGAAGTCAGATTTTTGAACACCCTAGTAAAATACAATTGTTTTAGTCTACATTGAAATGAGATTCGCTGAAGTGGGATGGTCTGCAAGACGGATGGTCAGAACCACGAGTAGTCCTTTCCAAGATCTTGGACTTTTGTTGATGTTATGAAAGCCCCTTATGACCATAACCCTGCAATAAACAGCTCAAGACAGAAAACAAGAGCTATGTGAAGCACTCAGAAGGCCTTATGAAGTCCCCTCTCTGCCTTGGTTAAACTCACCAGGTGGCACAAATAACCAATGATTGTCAAGGTGGCCCAAGACTGGCTGGGGAGGCCTCTACAGGATCTCACGATACTCATCAGCCAGAGATGTCCAAACCCCAGGTTTGGTTGAGGTCAAATACATGAGAAGGGCAAGAGATGTAATTAATGGACAGCTCCACCAGCAGAAAAGATGATGAGTGTTAGTAGACAATACCACTGAAGATCAGTAAAGTGACAAGGAACCTCCCAATGAAGAGAGATAGCCTCTCAATAAGTTGAGAGTTAGGGGTATAGTATCGGTGGCTGGTTGAAACTGTCACTGTGCACAGTCCAATAGGGGTGAGGTTAAAAGCTTCCCTGAGCAAAGAGGTGGTCAGTCATCAATTCCACAATCAGAAACAAGAGATTGTTAGTGATGGACAGCCATCAACAAATACTGTTTCATTGGCAAACAACACAGTAGACACTGCTGGTAAGGATAGAAATTGGTTCAAATAGTGAATGTCTATTTACCCTACCTGAAATATTTAGCAAGGAAGTGTATTGATATATGAGGTAGAGACAGTGCAAATAACATTACTGCACATGAAATTTTAGAGTGAATAGTCTATATCAGATACATACTGCTCAGAATTGTTTATTTCATGATGCCTGTATAACTGTTCAAATGCACTAATCACAAAAGGCAGCACGTACCAATCCATAAAAACCGTTGCTTAGTTTATGGAAGTACCGTGAAGGTTACTATGGTAATGCCAAAAAATATATGAGGTAATATGTCAAAAGTTATTAGTGTATGTGATGATGTGTAGAAGTTGTATTTGTGATTTCATATATGCAAGGTGGTGCATACATGTACAAAACTCTACATAAAGTTATTAATAAACATTATTCAATATAAAACAAATCAGTCTCTGAGGGCATAACAGAGAATAAAGTTGGATGAGAATACTAGAGTTTGATATGAATGTTGGAATGAGTTACGAAGTTAATTGTTAGCACTGGCCTGTAAAGCAATATTTTAAGAAACAGTGAGCTGTTGTTTTCATTTATTCTTGTGCAAACTTTTAGTTTGGAACATTTGGCAAGTAATGGATTTTCTGGAAAAGGATACAAGTACTGAAGGACTCGCACCACACTTATAGGAAAAGACAATTACCTGTATTTTGCGAGTGTTGGCTATCAACATTTCAGCTATCTGAATGAAATGTGAGTCAGTAAAGTGAAATTATCTGTAAAGATTGAGATTCACAAACAGTGTTATTGCATAATAAAAGTAAGCTTAGTTTGGTTATGATGGAAGACTTTTGATTGGCAGATGGAAATATCCCTGAAACACCCAGTGTTCTATATACTTTCTAAGCTTTCTTACAGTACAGGGCCATTAAAAGCACATGAAAATGCAGAGTGTGCAAGGGGGTTGGAAGCAAAAAGTAACACCTTCCTGTGAGGTTTAGAAATTCTCCTCTGTGCTTAACTTCTTTCTGAAGGTCACAGTATCTAGGCCAACATCCCAGTAGTATTCAATTTAATAAAACATTTGTGTAGGTAATTAGTTTGCAGTCTCTCCCTTTCATTTTTTTCCCTACTGGATCATTGGTTTAACAACCAGAATGATGTGGGGTTACAGAATAACTGTGAACCATTGTCACAGTGTGATGCCCTCCAAGAGCACAGTAGATTTAGGTCAATCTTGAGACCCAAAGATTTCTGCACTGACAAAGCAGTTGACATATAGAAAAGATCATGTTTTAAAAGATGGTTAAGCATGAGCACAAAAGCCTTTAGACAAAGAGATTAACCACAGGTTTATAATTAGCTTTAGTTTTTCACATTTTGGTCTTGACAGGAATTTCCAGGATGATGTATTTGTTTTAACTGGGCTGTTACAATTTTAACTAACATTCTTTACCAGGTTTCTGTAACCAATTAGAACTCTTTTTGACCATGTATTTTGAATCTCTATTTTTCCTATTTACAATCAAACTCAAAATTCTTTCAGCAATCTTGATTTTTTAACCGGTCATTTAAAGTGTTTCTTACTCTTGTTGCTGCTCAATTCTAAAGCTAATAAGGGAGAAGCCAGTGGTGGGAACTTTTATTTGATTTTAGTGATACTGCAGAGTTTCTGACACTGCCTTCCTCGCCTGATGTTGCCCTGAAGTTCACATCATCAGAACCAAGAGATGACACGTTGCTTGACGAGATGTAAATAATAAGATTAGCCTAATATGGAGTCAAAGAAACAATGAAGAGTGGGAAGCCAAAAAGACCTACAAGTAAGTCCTGCTCTAAGTCCAAGAACCAAAATGCAGCCATGTGCTCCTTTTGAGGGTGTTTTGCAAGTGGATCCAGTGGGCACACAATATGTGGGTACTTCATGACCATAACAGAATCAGGAAAAACCTTCCTTCAGCTGCAACTCACAGGAATCTCGATAAATGCAGCTTCAAAGTCTACATTGATCCCAGGGGCAGTCCTCCAATGGCAGCTGCCATTGTGGCTACTTCAGTTAAAGTTTTGGTAGAAACAACCACCACACTGTGCACTAGAGGTATCTACTTAAATAATAAGTAGACATAATGACATAATAAGTTACAAATAATCACCAAAGGTTACTCTATAACATTGATTGTACATAAAGCTCAGACTTACATATTATCTTCTCCCAGATCAAACAGTGTTTTAATACACTGGTATTTTTTTATGCCCTTTTAACACATTTTTCAGACTGATTAGCCAAGAAATTAAAACAATAGATGAATAGCTTTATTAAAGCAGTATCATATTGTCATAATAATGAATGATTCTAAATTCTTTCTTCAAGTAATAAAGTTTGTTCAACTCAATTTACAATTCATAATACTATGATAAATACACATAGAAGTCCAAGATATCAACACACAAGTTTTCAAAGGATGTAAGAGAAAAGTGTTATATTTTCATTTAAATTTCTATCTACATTCAATATTAGTCACAACAGATTCATTCTGCAACACAACAGATTGAATAGTCATGTTAGATAGGTCCTCCTACAGTCTTCTTTTTTGGTATGACATTGATCAAGCATGGATGTTACCAGTTTTTTTCAGATTTTAAATCAGTATTTCTTTTAATTTTTGTAGTATTGTCTACGAAAGTTTAGTTTTGTGTGGCCAAGAGGTTAGCATGCCAGACTTTTTTTTTTACTTACAAACACTAAAATCAATTTTACATAATTAAACAAGAAGTTATATTGCAAAGTAATTTTACTTAACTTGTAATATTATAAAAAAAATAATTCATATCTCAACCTTGAAAACAAAAATGATAAAATTTGTGTGTGTGATTGGTTTTATAACCACATATTATGCAATACAACTATATATTCCTAAAGAGATATCATTTTGACATTAAAGTAGATAAACATATTATTTTATATGTTTACTTTAAAATGTAGAATTGGATTTCATTATAGACCAACTTTAATCCCTTTCTGGTAATGGCTTAAATTTCAATCATAATTAGTCTTACTTCAAACCATCATTTTCTATTGGTTTTAGTCAACAAAGGCTGACGTAAGTCACTGATCGAAATACATGATCCTAACCATGAAGTTTGATTAAAACATCTGACTTAAAACCTCAAAAATTTCATAAATATCTTCAACATTATGTATCTCGTAAAGTTTCAGTCTCAATATTTGTTTTGATTCCTTTCTTCAGAATTTCTTTGCTTTCCCTCTTAGGTAAAAAAGTAATACCAAACTTTAAAAAAGTACGTTATAATTAGACTGAATGTACTTACAACAGCTGGTGGTGAAGTCAAAGGATTTCTATCTACAATCAGTTGCTTCAGAGAAGTCATCTGTCGAAGCAGTGTAGGCAAGAAAGTAATTCTGTTGCCAGAAATATCTAATTTGACTAGACGAAGCTCACAGACTTCTGTAAATAGGAATATTACATTCAATAAATCCAACCAGTTATTCTTATTATGTATGTACTAGTAAAATTAAGAATGCTTGGTGTATAGATGGCTAAATGAAAAAAAAACAACAGATAACTTCTACTTGCTTTCAAGTACAAAATTTGCTCCAAAATGTTTTTCCTCAGTTTTCATAAAGGATTTTAGAGTATTTAGTGTTTTTTTTTTCCTGTCAAAACTAGTAGCAGTCTTTTACTGCATAATTTATTTTTATTTGAAATGACATTGATAACTATTTTCTCATTTATCTGTTTTAATAACCAGCATTATAACTCAAACCATATCCAAATAATTTTGTTAGTGTATAGGCAATACATTTCTAGAATATATATATAATACATCATAAAACAAAAGAACTTCTCACAGTTACAAAACCTCACCTAATGGTAACTCAATTAATAAATTCCTCCGTAAATTAAGTGATTTGAGGGCCTTCAGATCTCCAATATGTGGTGGCAGGATGGTGATCTGGTTGGAAGCAACATCCTGAAAGTGTTCTCTTTGTTAGTTTTTATTGAAATAGAGATTCTATGATATTTAGTAAAAATATTTTGAGAATTACAAATTCGTAACTCAACTAGTACAGAAACTTGACATAAGCAAATAGATATCCAAATGTGAAAGAACACAAGTTTATTCTAGAACCATACAAAGTACTGGAACAACATGAGTAGGGTTAATAATTTGTGGTATAGACCTTTGCTTTATGCAGAAAAACAATGTCTTATACATATGTGAAGGTGATCAGCAAATTTCATCTACAAGATTGCACTAATATCTAGCACCGAGTATGATTGGGGAGTCTTCAGAAGTGGATTTATTGGGTCATTTTCACAGGGTTTGGTCAAGGATGGCCCACATGTGACTAATGATATTAACATCTGATGGCTGGCCAGGCTATGGCAGAGCTGTAACACTCCGACTTTCTTTCCACTTTTCGATTTCAGAGGGTGTCTATTTACTTATGTCAAGTCTCTAGAAAGTGGAGCTATGTTACATTTGTAACTTGTATTTTGTAACTAATAAACTTTTCACAATAAAAAGGATAATGATACTCATTATAACAGAAGGGGACACAGATAAATGCTTTTGGAATTTTAGAGAGTTCATCTTAAGTATCTAAAGCATAATAAAAGAATTATATCATTTCTAAGTATATAACTAAAATACATTATTTACTTTGAAATGATGTTATCCTTTTATTTTGCTTTAGATACTGAAAAATGGAATCTGTAAAATTCTGAAACATTTATGCGTGTCTCCTTCTGTTATAATAATCTTTTTTTTCTTTGCCTGAACGAAGTATCCATAGGACAATGGAAGCTATTTTTCACCAGCATTCACTTTCATTTATTTTAGTTTTTCTGTTTTAATAGCCAATTAACATCAAGTTATATTTAGTATGATTATGAACTTTAAATACATGTGGATATTACTATGGTAATTTTAAATACATTCTATGAAAGCATTTCTAATATTTATATTAATTCTCAGTAGACAAATTTGCAATTATCAGTATCCAATTCAAACATTTATGAAATGTACAGAAAATACAACAGCTAACACTATTTCAGTGCGAAGCCATTGCTAACATATATTGCTCTACCAAATTCATTTTTTCCCTTTTGACCAAGATATGTTGATGTTGTATGTCAAATTACAATGTAGAAATAGAAATTTTATTTTCCATAATTGGATATAGATATTGCTTTTAATTATTTTAACCAGAAAATCGTTATTCTGAGTCAAAAATTAATTTTATACCCTTTTTACAGTGAAATTTAAGCCAATTTTAAGTCTAAATGTATAAATTTTAATCAAATCATCACCAATACATTTTCTGTCCACTAACCAGTTCCATAAGTTGATGCATACAGCCAATTTCTTCTGGAAGAGAAACCAGTTTGTTGTTGCTGATTATAAGCACTTGAAGAGGAAGTTGACATAGTGATGTTGGAATGGTGTACAGCTGGTTACGACTAGAAATGAATGGAATAGATTTCAGGTACATGTCAGATTTTATAGTTTATTTGTCAACTATATGACACTTGAATGGAATAGATTTCAGGTACATGTCAGATTTTATAGTTTATTTATCAACTATATGACACCTGTCGTAACAGTAGTTAAAATATGATCTCAGAACTTGTACAAAGAATGTAAATACTTTTGCTCTAGGTTATTTTTTTTTAATATTAGTAATTAAACTATATTCTTAATCACAGAATTGTTAGAAAGTGGTTTTTGATTTCCCTGACTTTTAAGACCCATTAAATTTCTTTCCTAAATGTGTAGGGAAAAATTAATTTTTCGGTTTAGTTTGTGCTAACTGCACTTTGGGGCAGCCATTGGAAATTATGTACCCCCCCCCCCCACACACACGCACATATATACACATGTTTTTTCACAAAATACATTAAACATAGTTTCAGATTTTAAAAAGTTGACATATTGATTACATAAACCCTGAAAAACGGAAGTCGCATGATGCTTGTAACACGTGATGAGTTTCTAGAAGGATCACGAAGGCCCGAGTGCTTTCTAGGCGCTTTCTATTTTAGTATATAAGCCCACCAGATAAGCGGAGATATAATTGCAGATAAGGAGAAATAGAGACAGATAACGGAGTCAAGTCGTAAATAAAGTGCGTGAATCGTTGTGTATTATAGTGTGTGTTTAAGTTAAAGTTACTGTGGAAAATAAGTGTATTGCAAAGTTGTATTGAGAAAGAATAAGCTAGTTTTATTTAAGAAAGGACTTGTATCGCTGAAGTTCCTTGGGAAGTAACACTACTTACAAAAAGAGTTTAATTTTCTGTTAGCTTCAAATCTAGAGTTACATTATAACATAAAACATGTAATCTAAAAACAACTGTACACAAGAAAAAAAAAAAGGGTAAAATTTTTGGAGTGAGATTCTTTATATTAGGGACAAGCTTACTGTAAATTTAAAAATAAATACCTGACAAAATAAAAAGCTATGTGCCAAAACAGTATAAAATACTTGTAATAACAAAATATTTTGTTGGAATTTTGGTCAGTATGCACAAGTCAATTCAAATAAGAATTTACTTAAAATTATATGAACCAGCCAGTGATAATTTCTGTCATCGTTGTATGTTATAAATTGTTTGTTTGTTTTCAAGCACACAGCTATACAATGGATTATCTGTGCTGTGACCATCATGGGTATCAACTCCAAATTTTAGAGTTATAAGCCCTCAGCACTGAGCCACCAAGGGCATGTTAAAATTAAAAGATAACTTAATTTTTCATCATACAATCAAGTTAGGCTTCAAAGGCACACTCATCAAAATTAGAGGTAGCTTAATATCACAATGAGAGCAAAAATTAATTTGCATTACTGACAATTTAAGTGCTTGTATCGCACAACATTTCTGGATACTCAAATTAGGATTTGGCAATAGTTGAATTTATGCTAAGTAGTACTGCATTGCGATGGTTAAGTTTTCATTGTACAGTACCAAATTTTCCAATGAATAGCAGTACAGTACGATAGCAGCCCCTAATGTTGATACCTAGTGAAGTACATTCTGAACACGTTCTTCTGCTTTCAGTTAACTATGAAGAATCATGGAAATAGGTAATTTTGTTCCGAAAGTATCTGTTAAGTCATAAACTTCCTATAGAAAGTATTGTTTGCCATAAGGTGAACAATTCAGACAGAGATGGTTAGATACGTTTGATAGTGGAAAGTTTGCAGCAGTATTTACCTAATCGATTAACTTTTTTTTTATATCTTTAACAGTGAAAAATGTTAAATTTCTTTTATCAAAAGCTCCATGTAGCTGTAGGCCTAATGTAACTGTGGCACAAAAGAAGTTTTCAGGCTATTTACAGTTTTTTGTTGTAGTAAGACAGAATAATCTCTGACATTCAGAATTTCTAAAGTACTGAATAATTACCTAGATTTGATCAATTAAGTCCAATGAACACACAAGATGGTGCTGAGTAAAAACTAAATTACTGAAATTTAGTATCTAAGTGTACAGTATCATGAGTAATTACAGCAACTATCATACTGCTATGCAAGCAAGTTTTTTTTCATTTTTTAAATAAATTATGCATGTAATAAATGTATTCTATTCTGTGTTGTTAAATACAATGACACATACATCCATTTCTTAGTAACAGTGGTTATCAGTCCAGTTTTGTTGAAAGTTTTGTGTGCACTACTGTAGTACATGTGGCTTGGTACCATAATGTGCAATACCAGAAAATTTGTTGCAATACTAGATCTCAAACACTTTTTTTAACATAAAAATTCCTAGAAAAAAAAAATCGACCTCTGAAGTACTGAAGTAGCTGAGGGAAATATGAGGGAAAACATTTTGATATCTAACCCAACTACAGATACATAGAGCTATATGAAACAGCAATCCAACACGAATATTAATAAAATTTGCAGAAATTGGCTATATATAGCTAACAATGACAGGTAAAAATAAACAAGGAGACAACAAATCATCTGTGCCTGAATCTAATACAGACAAAGTGATATTGGAAGTGTATCTAAGATTGGAGAAACAAAACTTAAACACATATATGCATGTACGAAAAAAAAAAATATCATGAAAAAGTCACACAAGCAGAAAAACATGAATCAATCTCATCATACCTAAGGTTCAGGTAAGTTAGAGACTGTAAGGTAATTACAGAGTCTGGAAGGCAACGAATCACATTATGGTAACACTCCAACGCCTCCAAAAGAAAAAATTCACAGATTTCTGTTGGAAGTTCACTGAATTTGTTTTTTGATAAATCTGAAAGAATAAATAAATATATATCAATATGCATTTAATTAATGTCACCAACATACTGTACTCCTAAAAATCCTATAAATTTTAAACTTGAGCAACACACATATATATTAATATGTATTTAATCAATGTCACCAACATACCGTACTCCTAAAAATCCTATAAATTTTAAACTTGAGCAACACACATATATATTAATATGTATTTAATCAATGTCATCAACATACCATACTCCTAAAATTCCTATAAAGTTTTAACTTAAGTGGCATGTCTGTCATTGGGTGTATTTTGAATTTTCCTCTATAAACAAACATTGGCACCAACAGATGGAGTTAAGAGCAAAGATATCTAAATTGAAGAAATGGTAACCTACATTTCTCCTTACCCACTATCACTTTTTTTTTATTTTATGAATTATGAAATACTGTAAGGAGTCTTTCATTCTTTCTGGCAAACCCTTTTTTTTTTTACAAAACACATGAAACTATTTCACAAACATCCAGTGACCTAATTTTTCCAATTTTTGAGTACCTCTATAACTTTGCTGCAGATTTTACCTCTAAATAAGGTTAGTTGGGCATAGTAAAGGTTACAGTAATTAATGTACTCATACTAAAATCTATATGCTTTGTGATTGTTAAGTCAAGCAGAAAGTAGGCCAAGTAGTGTATTTATATTTCTTTTTCATACAAAGAATCTCCTTAGCAAAATCTATATTAGTATTTCAAAATAAATAGATAAAAACAAACATTATGAAACTGTTATGTATATTTTTTCAGGGCACTTAGAGACTAGTTTTAAATATATATTTCCAAAAATGAAGATAGATAATCACAATTTATCATTCAATAAACAGTATAAATACACATAAATCACTACTGATTCCTATTCTTACAAGACCCACACAATTCATATAAATTAATTTATACAGCAGGCCTACAAATTACACAATGTTTTAGTATTATACACGTATGTTATTAGTACTTAAGACTGACAGTACCTACACAATGGATGTTTTTTAGAATCTATTCAAAATAATATACAGACAGGACTTGTTATTAGACTGCTACAATATACTTCTTACCTCCATTATTTTGAGAAAAAGAAATTATGAAATAAACAAAAGAAGTTCGCAGACACAGAAAATTGGTTGATTTGTTTATAAACATTGATGCAACTGTCTATGAATTCTAAAAAACAATTACTTGCTAATAAATGGGAATAACTATATAATTTGCGATCCATTCATGAAACTAGAAGTAGTTCCCAGTTCTACTTGCTGTGGAGTTACTAGAATCTTTTATTTTAAAATTGGTCTTATTACAAGTCTTTTACTGCTTGCATTTCTATTACAATTTTAAAATCACAGGCCTGCTTGAGAGCTATTCATGAAAAGATGCAAAACAGTGGTCTCAAATCAGTGGATTGCAGGCCACATCAGGCTCTCAAAAACTTGACTTAATGGCCCAAACTATGATCAGATATTTTACAAGTTAACAAAACTGTATTATGGGGAATCAAGTCTTATTTTAGATGATGATCATAAAATTATGTGCTGGGCCTGAACTTGTTGGGGGGGGGGGGGGAGGCCCAGTGTGGAAAATAATTATGGATCACTGATGTAGAAAACCAAAACAAGCATTGATTGCTGTAGTTGGTTTATTCCATTGTAACAGAATTATATGTGATTCACACAGAGCTGCCAATACTCACCCACTGAGCATGAGAATCAAGCATTTGGACCTATTCTCAATCTCAGAAACATTAGCAAAACAAAATATCATGTTTTGATCAAACTAGCAACTTTCTACAATGCATTATAGTTGGTTGGCTTGGCTGGATCCAGACCAAAATCAGCATCGTACTGATCAAGGAAATGCATCAAACTGCACCATTTTGCTTAACTAAATAATATTTTCTAGGGAAATCATACATCCAGACACCCCCCCCTCCCACTTCAAGGCATTCCCTATCATACATATCTATTTGAGAGAATTAAATTTTACCACATCTAAAAGTCACCAGCCCTGTCTAAATGTTATTAATACTTGCTAATTATATTATTGGAGTTTTATATCTCAAATTTTACCATATTTTTCTATTTAGAAAAAAAATATTATTTCAGATCTTTGATTATTCACTTTTAGAGAAAACTCAGTACTTACAACTTAGAAACTGTTGCTGATATAGTAAAAAAACATTAGATTTTATGTTCTTGTTACCTTTCTTTTTACCATACATATTTCTTTAATTTGCCATCGCACAGCTAATTTTGACAATGATATCCACTTTTCAACTCCCTGCCTTTAACAGTTAATGTAATCAAATGAAAGTCATGTTCCAGTAACCAAAGTTTTATAAGTTAAAGCTTTTGCCAATACAAATAAACACTACATAAAAGAAAATACGATATCTTTAAATATATAATAACAAAAAATTAATGAAAACATAATTTTTAAATTTTAGCTTAATTATACTACGAAAAAAGTGAGTGAGAGTGTGCAGATGAGAAGGCAATGGTAGTAGTTCATAGGTTGTGATGCTAGAATAGAAAGAATGTAATTTGATTTGAATAATGTATAGACAGCCCCTAATCTGAGATCTATGTATGCATACTGTGTACTCATGTTCAATATTCAACAAACAGAGCAACCTTTTTGGTATACTATCTTTCTTTTCTCTCATACACTCATCTCAAAAACAGTGATGTAAAATAAGCATGGAGGTACCAGTTCAGTAAACGTCTTACATCATCAGAAAAAAAAAATTACACAGCATTTTACTTCCAGATGGCAACCATATGGTATATGCTTAGTCATGTGTGCATCAATTGCATTTATATATATATATATATTGCAAATATATATATATATATATATATCGCAGGCCTTAAACTTTACAAGATGTGATAAGAAAAATATGTGGCATGTTTTTCTAAATATAGTGATATCTTATCTAATTTTAAATAAAAAAAAAGCATGAAAGAAATATGAAATTAATATAATGATACATGTAGTCTTCTGAATCTACTAAAACCTTCACATTTGGTCTAATGACTGAAGCTCTGACCTCAGTCTTTAATGTCAGCAAAAAATATTATTGAAGGTTTTGCTACTTTTAGCTTGAGTGAGAGATCAAACAACTTAATCACTACAAAAATAATTAATTTAAAGTTATATTTTAAAATAATATGATGTCATAGTTCAAAGGTTAATCATCAATTTCTTTCTATATTTTTGTTCTCTGGTGTATTTCTTTATACTTATAATTACTGAAAAAAGATCTTTCTGTGCTAAAGGATGTAAAACTTATAGTAAATAAAATGTGTAACCATAGGAATTAAGTATTAAACTGTGCAAGTTACTAAATATTAAATATACAAACACAGGTACCTTCATGTAAGACTTCTAAACCGTGACACTGTATAGTTTAAATGGCCTCACACTATATAAATGTTTCTAAAGCCTGATCCCTCATACATATAATAAAAGCACTGTCCTCATCTTATTATTTTATGTTTATCATATTATGTTGCATTTTTATCTTGTTCTTTTTTCATTTATGTGATAGCTGATAGTCCATTAAATCTGTCACTGACTTCAGCAAGTTGTTAAGTACAATGACATTTATTTACTCTAGCTAAACATGTATCATATCAATGAAAATGAAGTGAAACTGAACACAGTATCTGAAATAGTTAAATATCAGTTTACAAAAAAGAAGTTTATTATCATTATTCAAGCTACTGCCTTTTGTCTGGTAATTCATGTTGTCAAACTCTTAAAAAAAAGTATAGTTATAGTAATCAGGTGGTTGGAAAAATTACAAGTGATACAAGTAGCATGTGAAAACAAAATTAGAATAAACAATGGAGGAAAGCTACAATAAATTACAAACAATCTACTGATAACCAGAGCTAGATATGAGTGATCAAAACAGGTAGTAATTGCAAAAACAAAATGTAGTGATAAATAGTTTAAAATCTTATTGTAGTTACAATGAACAAATCACTTCAAAATGCACAGAATCACAAACAATGAAAAAATACATAAAGTCCATAATTGTTTTTTACAAAGTGATTAAAAAAATCTAGATGAAATACAGGCAGCAAGCCAGTAACATTATTTGATGAAGATGAACACTTTTACAATATGAAAAAAGTAATAACTTTAATAAAATTAAATAACTGATGTGTAACTAGATCATGATTATGTATAAGACAAGGATATATAAATGAATTACTTCATTATAAAACATTAAGGCCCAAGTTTGAAACTTATGTCAAAATAACCTTGTTAAGAGAACAAGTGCATGGACTATATTGTTCTTCTTCTTCTAATTTGCTTTCTTTCCACCTAATAAACTGCTTTTACTAAGAGATAAAAAATCAGTATTAATTTCTCCATGTTATGCTCAGGTTTAGAACCTCATGTTTTTTTGTTTGTTTGCTTCTTAATCTTTAAAAAAAAACAACAGAAAACTACAGTTAAATGCAGTAGTTAAATATTTTTTAAAACATTACAAGCTTCTCAAGTCAAATTTTAACAAAATTCTGTGGAAGATATCTAAACTAATAATGTCTGAAGTTTGATGGCCTACCTTAAAAATAATTCTAAGAAAGATAACATATATAATGTGGTTTTACACAACACTGTAAGTCTAGAATGTTTGGTGTTGAACAAGTGTGCACGTTTTAAAAACAGTTTTATTCCTACTTTCCAACATAAACTCTCTTTGCGATAATTTCACGCATTAATAAAAACAATAAGTCATACAGAACTTTGCATAGTTAAGTCAAAGACTAATGGCTAAAGAAAGCAATGGATTTGATAATTTACAGACCAACTGATAAACTGGAATTCCTTAGACACCCACGGCATCAGTCATGGGAAATTAATGCACAGTAACCAGGAAAGGGATTATTGGGTCAAGCTCATGATAAAAGAAGGCTGATAACAAAGCTTTTCTGACAAAAGAAATGAAAATACAAAAACAAACATTTA